CATTTCCAGAATTGATATTTTATTGCTCCTCCTTTGCCAATAAAAGCAAGCCTGGTAGCTTGCAAAGAATTTAGCTGCACAGCACCCTAGGAAGTGAAGAGGCCTCTGTTTTCTATGGTGACTGGGGAGGGGGATGAAAACATATATTCAATCACTTACAGGATATTGGATTTTAGTTTGCTACTTTTACAAGATATACCATAAAACAAAAAGTAATCACAGACATGGCAACAGTATCTGTCAAATGGTCACACTGAAAATGCTGCTTAAAATTATTGGGCCAAGCCTTATGAAGATCTCGTATATGGTATTCCTGAGGATTCCCCCAACATTTCACAAGCTAGTAACTAAACTGCAGCTAAACGAGGATGGAATTTCATTGCTGTATTACACACTTTTCCATACTCCCCACTCCACATGAGCATCTGAATAGGCTACAAGCAACATTGCAGCAAATTATGAACTTTATTCCTGCAATTGATTATGGAGGGGGGAGGCAGTTGTTGGCAAGTTTTACCGAATTAAAAACGATTTTGCTAAACTTGAAGGACAAAATGGCATAATGCAGAATGGCTGCCTGTTCTCTGCAGGGATGCTCTAGTTCTCATAATACCACTTATTACATTTCGTTGAAAAAGCTTTGTCAGGAAATCATACAAGAGGGAGAATTTTACTAGTTCTGGTCCTTCAATTCAGTATTCTGTAGAATCAGGTAACTAGGTTGGAAGCGGTGCATCATTTAACATGTCCACTTGTGAAAAGGCACTGCATGTTTACAGTGCTGCATAAAACAGCCTGCACAAGGTTTAATATCCTAGAAGTTGTTGAATTGCAAGTAGGATTAAATTAACTGCCATGGAGTGTCCAGGAGGAAATTTTTCAGATGTTTTGAACTTTGACACTGCCAGCATGGCCAGTAGATTGGAATACTGAGAGCTGAAGTCCAAAAAATCTGGAGATAAAAGGAAATCAAAGTCGGTTCTTTGAATATCAACACAGCTTCCCTGAATCCTGCACCACACAGGCTGCTGGTCAGAAGCAGGTAAAGACACTACAAGCACTATCCAGAATGCTTTTGATCCCAGGTGACCCTGGAGAGCCAACTGCATGCCTCTTCTGGTTCTAAAGCTCTCAGATGTGCTGCATCCCATCACTCTAGAAACCTGTTGTTATGGTCAATATACCACCCCAGTTTCTTTTCCACTCCTAACACTACAGCTTAATAAGCACACCAACAAAGGAATGCATATTCTAACACTGAAGTGCTTACAGGAAGCTCGGGCGGCGTATGGCAACAATGCAAGCTGAATGGGAAGCATAAGTAATCTGCATTTCCTCTTTCTGCACCTTCCCCAACTTGTGTCCAGGTGCTACTCAACATGTAAACAACCCACACTTCACGAGCAATGAAACTAAAGTCCTTTATTGCTACTTGTCTACAAGATTTACAGCTCTATAGATAAGCTCTTCTGTTGAGGTCTTTGGAATGCAGATGTTAATCCTCTAATGGTGTCTTCTCACATGGGACTAGCCCTCCTGGTCACGCCTTTCTTCCCTCTGGCGTAACAAGCTCTGCCTTTGCTCTTATCTTCTAAGAATTCTATGATTGGTCACTAGAGAAAAGTCTATTACGTCCCCTGTGTCTCCTGTGTCATGTTCAGGAAGCGTCAGTAGGAGGAGGGACAGCCCGCTCTGACTCCTTCCAGTAGAACTCCTAGTGTCTTTTCCCTCGGGGCTCTCTTGCTTTGATGTGGGCTCGGGTGTTTGCTCAATGGGCAGGGAGTCAGTGGGAGGTGCAGCTATCTGCTCAGCCACCCCCAAGCTAGGTTGCGCAGTTGGCTTTTGGATACAGGGTCCTAAGCACAAGACCTCCTCGTGAGCTGCTGTCTCTGTCGGGGCTTCAGGCATGACAACTTGCTTCCTCCAACTTGCATTTCTCTTTGTTAGGCAAGACGCGGCAGCCCTATTTCTCATGGGACAGGGAAGCCAAAAAACATAAATGTTTGCTTTTTATTCGCCTCCCACCTTCCCTGCCACATCCTTATCATGCCCAGATCTGTTGTGAGGTTAGAATGCTTCTGCCTAATTGTTGTTTAATTACTTTACATCCCAGCAGTTTTAAACCAACTGTTCCTCATCCAATGGCCAGACTAAACCTTGTTATCTCTCTTTGTCAGCAAACCTCTTTACATTTTGTCCCTGGCTAAATATGCCTGCAATGTCAATTTGTGAATACCCTGCTCAGTATGCCAATGAAGATGGCCAACAACAAAACTCTGGACAGGATGTGAACTGTGAAGCAGCAGGGCTTCTTTTGTTTTCTTGTATCGACCACCCTGGATGAAAGCAGAGATAGAGGACAGGTCTACTATTCACCCTACAAACATGCAAACCATGTACCAGCTTAACTGTCCTGCCTTTCCCCAAAGAATCCTGGGAAATGTTGTAGAGGGAGGGTGCCAAGAAGTGTCTACAAGAGATTCCTCTAACCTTCTGCACAGAACTAAGTTCTCAGAATTCACTTGACAAACCAAATGACTATTAAACCTGCCATATGATCATATGCAGGCATACAATGGGATGACTCCTGGCCAATGCCTTGTCCTTTGTGCTGGGCTTAATAAGCCTGTTGTTGTTCCTCTGACAAAAGCCTCAGATACGAAGGATGTGGTTGGCTTCAGCCTCTTCTGGACATTCTGATTCCTGGAACCTTCCGGGGCATCCCCCACCACTTTTCTTTCTGCTCCTGCCATACCTCTTCCCTCCTGGCTCCCTGAACTACAAGACTTCCCACCTTAGCAACGTAGCCAACTCTCCTGGTTACCCAGGCAACCAGATCAACAAGTGGCTTTCTGCTGAGATGAGTGATCATATCATATACATCCAGGTTGCCCCAGCAACCCAATACCTGCTTTGGGTTTCTTAGCCATGATGCTTTTTCCATTAAGGTCTACTATGCATTCCTACTGAGATAATAATGTCTAGGCATCTGCCTTCTGTTTAATCCACTTTCACTTAGCTCTGTGACTTCAGCAGCTGAAAAGCCGAGGATGGACCAGACACAATGAAAAGATCTCCCTTCTTTGAAGTCTAGATGGTGAGATCCAAATGTTTGCAATATCTGGCTTTGTTATCTGAAATCCAAAATTTGGCTGATTTTACACTGTTACACTATTTCATTAAATATGATTTCTACCAACCTTCAAGGAAATTATGATTATGTTTAGGAGTGAAAACATCTATGATATATTTCTTGGTAAAGTTGGCATTCTTACTAACGAGGGTTACACCATCAATGGCAAAAAGACTGGAACAACTAAGAATGTAGAAACTCTGAAATATTTTTTAAAATTATTATTCTAAGTGGTTTCCTTTATACCTTACAACTGAGATATTCCCTAATGAGTTTGTGAAAATTGTGGGTTAGAAAAGAGTTAAAATGTCTTATTTCCCAAATACAATAGCAGGATTGAAACGAATAAGAACTAGTAACATTTAGTTGTTAGGAAACACTTCAGAACTTTTTGTGTCAACTGACTGCCAAATTCCAGGCATGTATGCTTGGAAATAGACTCCATTGTTAATCATCTTTTCCCCAAGCATATTAAGTTTGATTCGGTGATTCCTATATTTTAACTGAAAGACTACAGCTCAGAAAAGGCATCTTTCTTAAGACCAACTAAGGAGCTTCAGAAGTACAAATTAATTTTTGAAAGGCTGGTTGGAGGATTTCAGGAATACTCTTCCAAAACAGGATACCGGATTGAGAAAGGTTGCAATAAAGTGTTGAATGAAAGGCTCAGTCCTCAGAATTTTAAAAAATGACTGTATTTCCCATACTTTTAAAGACTTAGTGGGAAGGCAAAGAAGTTAATTCTAGTGTTCGGTGTTACAATAGCATTTTTACTTTATTATTTCTACTTTCTTCCTCTTGAAATCTATTGGGAATCTTGCTGCCAGATGATTTATAGAGTAATGCTGACTTTTCTTATCACACTCAAGTACAACACAAACCTGACTTGTGCAGGCACTTGCCTGCTCAGCCCACAAATCAATTAGTTTGTTCAACTCTTTGGATCAAATACTTGAGAAATCCCCATGGCATGATTTTTTTTTAAGGAACAGTCAAGTAGCCCAATTCTGATTCTGTCCTTCAAGCTTCCATGCCTCTGCACTTCCAGATGACCTTCCCTAAGGAGAGAAAAAGCCCCACACTGAGGAAGATCAAGGGGAAGGCCAGGCAACAGGAGGCCGGAGACCATGTGGGTTGCAGCCAAGGCCCGTCCTGCTACAGGACAGGTTGCACATCATGGGCCATTTGCGGCTGCTCTCCTGCATCTCTTCTTCCTCTGCATCAGTGGATGCACTTGTGAAGTCATCAAGGCAGGACTTTGGGGCACACAGTTCCAGGGTCCTGGGGAGCAAGAGGTCCTCAAATGCAGCAGTAATCATGCCAAATTTGGGTATGTGCAGTAATACACATTACTGTCTGAGAAAAAGGAACATGTAGAAAAAGGACCTTCTGGATCTTTGTCTGAAATTAAAACAGACCTAATTGTACTAATGCAGAAAGCTACATAGGGTGTAGGGTAAGAAACAATTTTTGCATTGGTCAAGCATGAAGTGGGAACAAGGTAAAACTCAAAAGGGGCAATCCATTTGGCAATGGGGGCGGCATATTTTTAGTAGTCCCCCCCACTCCACATCTGACAACTTGTCTCTTGCTTTATCTCAGAACATCCTGATATACGAGGTTCATAGGGTTAGTATTTCACAGATGGGAAAACTGAGGAAAGTGCTTTGCTCAAATGCAGTCCAGGTCTCTGCACAACCAACATTTTGACATTGATATGACATCAGATGATTAGATGTTTGGGTGTGCGTTATGGTTTTCCCTTTTGGACAATTTATGGTTTTATGTTTACTTTTAAAAAATAAAGTATTTTAAACATGTGAAAGTTTAATAAAAAGTAATTAAAAATAAATTTGTGGCAACTTACCCAAACTTACTGGCTAAACTCATGGAAATGCAGAGCAGAAAGCAGTTTTTGATCATGATAAAACCAGAGAACATCCCATTGTCCATTCCCAGTGAAATTATTAATAGAAGCAGCTGACTTTGCAGGGGTATATCTTTGCCACCTTTGTTCTGAAGCTGCAGCAGACAAGGGAGGCAGAAATACACGTAAGTGTTAAGACATGAAACAGGTCAGACACCAAGCAATTACACAGTGCACCATTGTCCAGCCCTCAGGGGACCCTAACCCTAACTCTCCAATAACCCCAAATTCATTAAGAAGTTACACAAGGTCCTCTGAGCATCTTTCTTTACATGAAGGATGCACAAATGAATTCAGATCTCCTGATCGGCTTGTACAACGAGGTTCCCAGCATACTGGGCATCTGTAAGGATTGCAGCTAATTTCGATAATGAAATTCCTTTCCAAAGATGTACTGATATAAATGGTCTATCTGTTCCCTGATTCTTCTCAAATCAGTCTGGATAATAAGAAGTCCGCATTTTTCTGATTGGAACATTTGTTAAAAACACATGTATAAAAACAACAAGGTATGTAGTTAGCACCTATTGCCTTTTATGTCTTTTTTCATGTCCTGTGATGCATACATAGAGTACATATGTGTGTGCTCCCAAATGGAATCACTCTTTTATTTTACTGTTTTAAACACACACACACACACACACACACACACACACACACACGACGCAAGCTTATATAAACTGAAATTCGAGTGCCCTCAGTCAAACAAAGGCCTCATATGTTTCAAGGCACCTTCACAACACATGTAAGCAGTAAGAGGCTTGTGGGGCTGGCAGGAAAACAATACCTGCATGTAGAACTGGCCTGCATCGCTTGGATGGTTGCCCGCCTGCGTGATCCCAAAAACTAAGTGGCTATATCCGAGGGAAGTCCTTCCCTGATGGAGACAGACAGGTGATAGAGAGTTGATGGACAGACAGAGAGAGGTAGGTAGGCAGGCAGAGAGGAGGCCAAGGCAAGCGAGGTGTCTTTCAAGGCAGTGCCCTCTGGCTCCTCGTCTACCTGGCTCTGGCAAGAAGGTGCACTCGGTCTAGGAATGCCGCACACTCTGCCCACAGAAGTACGCGAGTGTGTGCGCGCGCGCTTGTGTGGGTGGGTGTGTGGCAGCCATCGATCCCCAGAAATATGCAGGTGCCAACACAACACCGTCAGGGAATGCTGCGGCCTTTCCTAGAAGCAATTGAACAAACAAGCAAGCAAACTTAGGTGCGGGCGGAGGAAAGCAGCTCCCTGAGCCGAGGGGGATCCTCTCCTCGGCACTTCCCGGCGCTATCCCGCCTTCAAGAGCTGGCCTCGTGCGGGGGCACTCGTGCCGCACACACACGCACCCCCGCGCGCGCGCACTCACACGCACACGCACTCTCCCACGCCGCTCCACCGGCCTCGGCCCCCGCTCGCCTCCCTCGCCCGGCCGGAGAGAGAGGGCACTGCGGAGCCGCAGCCGCCTGTTACCTCCCGCAGCAGCTTCCCTTCCGCGGCTCGCCGTCGCCTCCCCTGCCGCCCGCCGGGCTCCGTCCCAAGAAGACCGCCGTGCCCGCAGAGCCGCGCACGCGGCCGCGGCGTCCGGCGCCTTCGGGCGCCCTGCGGCTGTGGCGGCGCCGCTCCTAGCGCGCCACGCGCCGCGCGCTGCAATGAAGCCGGCCCGGCGCCCGGCTCGCCTGCGCCCGGCCTCCCTCCGCCGCTGCCCCCGCCGCGCACGCACAAGTCCGGCAAACTCCTGCAAGAGGGGCGAAGTGCCGCTTGCCGCCGCCGCCGCCGCCGCCCATCGCCCCGGCCGCCCCGCCGCCGCCGCCGCCGCCTGCCCGCGCAGACTTCGGAAGCAGCAGGAAGCCAGACGGCCGCCCGCCTGCCTCGCCACCCGCAGCTCCGGCGCCGGATCACCAGGACCGGAGGCTGGGGCAGCGCGCTGTGCGCCAACACTGACGAGAGCCCTTGGAGTCGCCAGGCCAACCAGCCAAGTTGGCCTTTGGGCAACCTGCTGTGGCCTCTTTCGTCCTCTCTTCCCCCCGCCCGCGGCGCCGGGTACGTTGCCTCCAGCGGAGGACAGCCGCTCGGCTCTTCACGCGCTCCTGTCTCCTCTTCTGAGGTCGGTCAGTCCTCTCCCCCCACGTCGATCCCACGACGACTTAATGCACCCGGACTAGGAAAACCCGAGCAGCTTACCGATTGCTGGGGAGCAAGCACCTCTGTGTGGATTTCGCCTTCGTCGCCGTCGATCTCTTTAGCCCGGGCTGTTGCCCAGAAAATCCAGGCTGCTGAGAATCCAACTTGATGCCCCGAAAAGAAACGTATGGGGGAAAGCTCCAGCTGTTAAGATCCAAGCGACTTTCTAAGGCTGTGCAGCGATCTCCTTCCTCGCTTTCTTTCTTCTCTGACACCCCTAGCCTTCTTTCCCCAGTATCCTCCACATGGCTTCTCCTAAGCATGACGGCTGCCAAGCAGCTGTGCGCCAGCAGAGGCCGCTGCACGCATGGCAGAAATAGCCCATATTAATCACTGCGTCCCTTCCTCGGCGTAGGAGAGCTCAGGACTGCTAGCCAAGCGCTTCTGCAACGGGCTTGTTTCTAGGAAGGGGGATTCCCAAGGCTTGCGCTGTCGACGACCGAACTGGGAGGAAGGCCTCGTTTAGCTGGCCCGCACTGAGATCGCTTCTCTGCATTGGCTGGACTGGGGATTTTCAGAACTTTGGGGAAACATGGCTGCACCTGGGCATACGCAGACTGAGCTGTCATTATATAACGATAGTGGGTACCTTTCCCAGACTGCCCAATAGTTCTTGTTTGCCACCATGAAGCTCAGGGCTGCGTCTTTTCTGTTTGCACTGAGAAATGTGCCAGACATGGAGGCTTCTGAGTAAACCTGCTTTCGTCGATGATCCATGGTCATCCTTAGCATGGGTAGCCACACAATACACCTTTGCAAGCCTATAGTCCTTCACGTGTGCGCAGAAAATATGGTGCACATAGACAAAAACAGTGCAATATGTGAAAAAGCCCTGAGGCAGAGATGCAGAATAGTGAAGGGGATGTAAGAAGACTGTGTAACTCTTTGATGACAAAGGATGTGTTTGCCCATGGCTTTACTGAATTGGGCTTTAACTTCTCCCATGACACTTGTGGGGCAGGAGGGGGGTGAGGAGAGGCCATGCCTGGGGGGGAAGCACTAGGCACACCACTGCAGGGTTGCAGGATAGAGGAAAAGAAAAAGGGTTGGTCGTACAATAGAGATAGGGGCTTCAGTGAAAGAAACCCCGAACTCAGTGGCTCTGATGAGACAAAGAACAACCCCAGTAATGTTCAGCTAGAAAAGAATTCTATATGATAAGGTTACCTCCAGATTTCTGATCCTAAAGACACAGTTCCAAATATTTTACTAAGAAATCCCATTGAAGTTAGGAAGATTGCATCAGAATAAATGTTTAAGGTTCTGAGATACCCTTATATGCATGTTTCCCAGTTTGGTTTCTTCTCACCATCCCCTGCAGCCATAGGGAAAAGATTGCTGCCTTTAAAAGGGAAGTGCCCAACATTAAAGCATGCTTTGCAGTGCATTGGTCTGATCAGTGTCGTTGGTTCTTCCTTTCCAGCCATGGCAACAGGGCTTAATTCATCATCCAAACATGAAGCATGATTTTAGTCCCATAAAGAGGGGTGCAGAGACAAAAGAACGTAAAAATGGGGGAAGTCAGGCCTTACAGCATTTGAAGTTTTAAAAGGTGCGCATGCAGAGAGTCTATTTCCTTCCTCAGCCTGTCCTTTGATATTAGAAGACACTCTAGCTCAGTGATGCAGATTTCTTAGAGGTGAGTGTGGAGGAATAATGCCTTCCATATCCCGGCCACTCTTCTCTCCTTTGGAAGTACCAGTGCAACACCTCCCAGCTATTATCCTCCTTGTGACTCCCCATTCCTTGATCAAGGAAGGTTTGGCCTCCTTGTTCCCTCAGGCATCCTGTGTTGCTCCTTAATGTGCTGTCTGCAGCAGCTCTCCCCAGAGGGCATGCCGATTGGCCATGGTGGTGAGGTTGGGGAAGGCTGCCCTGAAATATATAAGTAGGTGGCAAAATGTGTGAAGGCCTATATGCTGGAGCTGGAAGCTCTCAGAAAGAGGCTATCCATGATAGAGAAGGGCTGTAGCTTAGCAGCAGAACATTCTTTCAACGCACAAGGTCACAGGTAGGACTGGAAAAAAACTCAGCCTGAAATCCTCCAGGCCAAAAAGTCCAGCCCAAATAGTCGAGCCTCCTCCTACCTGGTGCCCTACTAAGCTAAAAGGACCACTGGTCTGACCTGATCTAAGATGGATGACTCTGGTGTTAAGAATTTCTGTGTAGAACGCTATGATGGCTCATGTGATTTGGGGCCAATAGTTGTAGTCTGAGATGGTAGAGTCCTTCCAAGAAAGCACCACCTCACTCTCTTGCTTGAAGATGCCTCCACATACACAGGGAATCCTGTCATATGTCAAAATCATCCTTTCATCCAATGGTAGTTTGGTTATTGAGCAAATTCTGAGCAACTTGGCAATGCTCATCAGGTGTTTTACTAGTTAAAATTCACACTTCCCCTGAAAATGTGAATAGTAAGAGACACATAACTTTCAGAATGGTGCAGAGTTTTAATGTCTAATGCAATCTCAAACATACGCACTAAGGAATTAACCCCACTGAATAAGCATGCACAGGAGTTAGCTTTAAGTGTGGGAAAGAAATTTCAGAAAGTGCTTTTTTATTTTTCCTTCTCCAGCATGACCAATTGCATTGGCTAAAAATCCCCTGCTCTCTAGGACTATTACCTTACAAGAGCCCTGTCCTCCACTCCATTTGTTATCCTAGTGGGTAGCTTAATAGGTGAGGTGCATCTATACCACTTCATTTGTAGTAAGCAGAGATTAAATGAGTTGAAAGAAAGAAAGAGCTGTCCTCTTTGCAGTACCCATGTCCTCTGGCCACTTCATCATGATCTCCCCTGTGACTGCCAAGGTAATCTCTTTGTAGACAGCCTGTCTATCTGTCCCAAGGAAAGTTG